AAGCAAAGCATTTGAATCAGTGAAAGAGCCCAAGGAAAAGTAATTAAGAAAGAATAAAAGATTATTGATAAAATAAAAGTAAGATACGTGACTAAAGAGAAGGAAGTCAAGTCAAACGGTCAAGTTCTCGGAAGCTGAGTAAGCAGCTAACGAGACGGACTAACAAGCAGAGCACGAGACATACTCCGGTCAGGGTCACCACACTCCTCCCTAATCAACGACCTAATTAATTAATATATATTGAGCGCGAGATGCACCAACGCTAGCTCAGTAATATAGCTCATTAACATCGCTCGCTCATGTCAACAGTATCGATATACCGTACGTATCGCGCCCGACCACTATAAGCGCGAATAAGTGAAAGTGTACGAAAACCTATGAAATATATCAATTTATACCTAACGTCCGAGAGTGTCTTATTTCGAGCGTGGATCCTAATCCTTTGGGCGTATAAATCCCTAAAAACCTCTTCCTTAGCGGCTAGAGGCACAACATTAATTGGTGGCAGCGGTGGGATATTAAACGCAACAATTGCGCACGTGGATAATGTTGAAAAAGTTCTGCAAGAAAATGAAGAACAATTTTTAAATATAACAGAGAAGATGCGACAAGCCTGGATACAAACAGAAGTCGGATTACAGGAGTCTTATTGCACGGAGCACCTGTAAGGAAACCGAACCTGATACCCAAGTCGAAATAAAAGAATTTAAATATGAACCGGGTATCTACTTCGAAAAAATGGGCAAGATAAACCAAATCGAGTCCACATGGAAGATGGTGATAAAAATAGACATCGCCGCAATGGACCATCGACATGAACAATTGAGAAACTATATGGCACAAACGAGAGCTCTATGCTACGATAAACCATTGCAAATAAAAATGAAAGAAACCTGCCACAACCTGCTACAAATAGCAGAAAAGGACAGAGAACAAGCAGAAAAATTGCTAAAACGTCTAAAATTTGCGTACCAAGCACCCAAGAAGACAAGACGAGGGCTAATCGACGGTCTAGGAACGATAGCCAAAACACTCTTCGGTACAATGGACGCAGACGACGAAAAAATTATAAAGGAGCAATTAAATCTCATGCAAAGAAATCAGCAAACGTTGCAGCACGCGATGAAAAATCAGATTAAAATATTAAACGCAACAATTGCGCATGTTGATAATGTTGAAAAAGTTCTGCAAGAAAATGAAGAACAATTCTTAAATATAACAGAGAAGATGCGACAAGCCTGGATACAAACAGAAGTCGGATACGGACAACGAGAAGATCTCGACGAACACTTCATAATATTAAACGCCACAATAAAAGATCTAACAAACGATCTTATGGACATTATCGCGCACCTGACTAACGCGAAAAAAGGGATAATCGACATAAGATTATTACCTATAGAAAGCATCCTAGATAACCTCAAGGAAACAGCGTCACAAATACTGCAGGGAACGCACTTCCCATTTCAAATATCCGCAGAAAATTGGAGAACAATCAAAAAGTTCTTAACAATCAGCGCGTATTACAATAATACAAATATATTCACTATTATAAAGATTCCGCTAATCATATACCCCGAGTATGATATAATAAAGGCAACCCCACTACCTACGCACAAATTTAATAACACGTTTATTTTTATAGAAGTAAATCAACCGATAATAGCGATAGACATAGATAGCCGAACGTATTTTACGCCTACCGAAAATGATCTAAATAAATGCGTGCGAAGTAATGATCAATATGTTTGCGAACAGAATTATCCCGTACATTACTTAGACAAAGGAGCGCTATGCGAAGTATAAGCATGCGTACAGTTAGAGACATACACAAACAATTGTAATATTTGACATATACACACGAATACAACAATATGGATAGCGCTGAGTAACGCGAACTCATGGTTATACTCTACACGAGCAAACCAACCGATCGAAATAACGTGCGAAAACGACGCAACGCGAAAATTTGAAATAAAAAGAAGCGGACAAATCACATTAAGTGCCGGTCTACAATAGGCGATTTAAGCCCTAAGTCTTATGACTTAAGCTCTAAACTGTGACGTATTTCCGGCCTTAAACATTTCTCGCGCTGCCTTAAGCCCTAATCTCTAAGCCCTAAGCGAGTTGGCCAACTCCCATCTTTTAAAGCTTAGAGCTTGAAGCTGGGATCGATGTAATTTTTCTCTTAAAACATATAAAGTGACGACACAAGACGTCATAATACGGACAAAAAAGCCCGCGATAATAACAATCGTACAGACAAATCTACCTGACTACAATCTAACGATCTCAAACGACAAACGAAACGAAAAAACATTGGACCAAATTAAACCAATAAAATTACGAAAAGTCATCAGGAACCCGACAGAATTAAGGGACCTAAGCGAAAGACTTGATGAAACAAACGAAGACTTAGATAACAATTATTTTTCTACTAACGAACACATTATATATCCCGTAGCTTCAAGTTGTACAGGAATAATAATAATAATAATAATTACCATAATAGCAATTATATACGCAAAGAAAAAATGTAAGACAGAAAATAAAAAATTGCCAGAAACCAATATAAATCCGATGTGCAAACCAAAAATAATACAAGAGCACATTCACGGCACCGCAAGCGGATCGAATGGAACAGCTGACATAGAAACCGACACCGCGATAACTAACACTGCGATGCTATATTGAAATAAAGTAGATATAAAAAACAATTGTAAAATGCGAAAAACGTATAGCAAAAGCGAAAAATATGTAGACGAAAATTCACCTATAATTTTCTTTTTCCAAAGGAGGAGGGATGTCGTTGTTCAGGGTGATGACCTTGACAACATATGTCAAGGTCAAAGTCATCAGAAGTGCCTCCCCTCATCTTCATTTTTACCTTTCCAAATTAACTACCAGACTTGAAACAATTTAACAAGTGATTCCATAAATTAATATTCATAAGTATTAACATAGCTTTTTCGTATTATCCTATAGCTTTTCCATATTATCCTATAGCTTTTTCATATTATACTATAGCTCTAATATTGTAAAACTATCCGAGATGAAAGGAAAGCGTATAGAAGATGCATCCGAGACACCTGATACAGCGAGCGATAAACAGGTGCGTAGATCCGCGGCGGCTCCGAGTGATCCGCGACATAGACGCCAAGACATAAACAATCGAGTATTTATCATTAATCGATAGGCATCTCTTAGAAATAGTTTCATCATAGATTTCCGTAGAAAACCTTCATCTTAATGAATTTCTAGAACGCAAACTAAATTCTCAGAACGATCTGTACACGACTCGCAACACCTTTGATTCTCAATAGTATATAAGCTGCAGATTTTTACCCTCAGCAGCAGTCCGGCAGATCATCTTAATCCGTAACCGTGTCTCTATCATCTTCATTATATCGTCAGTCTCGCATTAGATTCATAAGCTCAAGTTGTGTAAAGTCCGGAATAAAAGACTTTAAGCATATATCTTTAGCGTACATCAATCAAGCCTATCTTATCCACGACCAAGGTCTTTGCAGATGGAAAGGAAAGGCTTAAAACAAGTACAAAGGACATTGAGCTAAAGAAGGATTCCTTGCTGCAATACAGTAAGTACCTGTAGTTACTAACACCCCGTATATTCTCAAACAAAGGAAATTTTACTTCGGAGTCTACAATTTATTGACAGCCCATTAATTTCATTCATATTTTATTTTTTAGATCACAAAATATGTCAGAATAAGATATAAAATAACTCAAAAAGTACTTAATGAAAACATACTTTATTATAGAGTTTTAAAAAGTCTCGACAAGGGCTATAAGAATATGCAATAAAAAATAGGTTTCAATTTAAAAAATTCAATGTGACCTTGATATGACCTTAACAATGCCACCCAAGGTATAACTAATATTCCTATCTCTTTTCCCCTCAGAACCATACAACTTTTGTCTAAAAAGTTTCCTTCTGAAACTTACAGGTTTTAAGATATTTGCCTGTTAAGATTAAAAAGACTCACCCTGTATATCGTGCCCTTGACGGCCATCGTCTATCGAGCTCATAGTAAGCCCTTGATTGACGCCTTCCTTTATCTTATAACCTTCCAATAAAACCTGACAACAGGAGATTAAATGAAAATACAAAATATATCATCATTCTAATCTTACTCGGACGTTGTCCAACCTTTGAAACCCGGTTGCCGAGCTTTATTGCTCTGGTGACACCTCTATCCTTTTTCCTAAATTTCCGTCGTTATCGAGCATTGAAGTATGCTCTAGATCGGCACCCTCCCATCATTACCCTCTACAATTCCATCGTTATCGAGCATCGAAGTATGCCCTCGATCGGCATTTTTCCCATATCGTAGACCTTCTCTTTGAATTAAAGTTTAGGATTGTATGAAACCAGTAAGATCTAGTATTGATACTAATCAAAAGACCTTTTTCCATAATTGCTAATCCTACCCCTTCATAAAATCTAATTCCAATTCTTATAAATAATTGATATTTTTCCTAAATTCTGCTCTTGTTATAATATTCTTCTTTAATTTATTAATTATTTCTCTGTAACGGCAGGGCCGTTACTACAGGCATTGTACCGACACCAAATATATCTATATAACCGCACGGCTTGCTTATTTCACCTAGCTCTACCTGTCCCGCTTGCCGCCATCTCGCTCAGCATGCGCTCTCGCTCGCCGGTACGCTCTGTCTCTTTCTCGCGGAGTCCCCACGCGGTACCGACTCCCACCGCCGGACCGACGGCGCACAGTGGGAGACGCCGGTCGGGTATAAGCCCGGCCGGCCGAGACATCGGGACCAGATCCTATCCCGACCTGCTTCTGATACCGATTTCACCACTGTTCATACTAAGTCCGCTAGTTGTAACCGCATGCTAGTAATAAGATCTGTCTAGTCCTAAGTCCGCTAGTTGTAAGACCTGCTAGTAATAAGACCTGTCTAGTACTAAGTCCGCTAGTTATAAGGCCTGTTTGTAATAAGTCCTCTAGTTCTAATCGCGCCGTCAGCGCATGTAAATGAAACCGGGAACGATTGCATGCCGAGCGTGTCTTGCGCTTCTCGCCGCTTTGCAACGTCCTGCGCCGGCAGAAGGAGGAACAACCACCGGCCCGCAGTATGCCAAGCTCACCGGTCGCCGCCGTCACATACAACCGGGAAGAGTGTTGCTGGCGCTGCAAGCAGCGAGGCCACACGCGGCTCGACTGCAGGAGACCGCCGCGCAAGTTCTGCTCTCGATGCGGCCGAGATGGGGTGCTCATCCGCGACTGTCATCCGCCGTCGGGAAACACCTTTCGGGCCGGGGAACCAGCGGCCACCGCCCGACCGGCGCAAACCCAATAAGGTTCACATCTAGGCCGCATCTATAGATACGGGTGCTCGACCGACATATATGGGCACTGTTAGACTCCGGCTCCGAAGTCTCGTTCGTGAGCCCAGCTACGGCGAAACGCGCAAAATACTGCGGCCACCCCCCTCGGGGGGTAACCCAGCAGATCAACTTAGCCGACGGCACCACGATACCGATTACACAGACCGTAGACCTGCCAGTCGCCACGATCGATCACACCATAGTACATCAGTTCCAGGTAATGCCGAACCTTAGCGGACCGATGTTGATCGGCATGGACCTATGGGCCAAACTGGGGGTGGCACTACCGGCGCCCCCAAGCGCCACCACCCGCACGGTGCCCGCCGTAGGAGAAATCTCGGCCGGACTAACGCCCCGAACCGCGGATGAAGACCGCCGCCTGAGGGAATTCCTAAGCCGGGAGTTAGCCGCGTTCGACACCATACGTGGGCCAACGGATCGCGTCGAGCACCGAATCCGCCTTACCACCGACCAGCCGATAAAACAGCGCTACCGACCGCGTAATCCAGCCATGCAGGCCGTCATCGACCAAGAGGTCCAAAAAATGGAGGAGGCCGGTGTCATCGAGCCATCACAGAGCGCGTGGAGTTCCCCGGTCGTACTAGTTAAGAAGAAGGATAACACCTATCGATTCTGCATCGACTTCCGGAAACTCAACGACGTGACGCAGAAGGATGCCTATCCGCTGCCACACATTGCGGCCACACTCGACAAACTCCGAGGCGCGAAGTACCTGACCACGCTGAATCTCAAGAACGGGTACTGGCAGGTACCATTGGCACGCGAAAGCCGGCCGGCCACGGCGTTCACCGTCCCAGAGAGGGGACTGATGCAATTCAAGAGGATGCCATTTGGGCTGCACTCGGCCCCGCCAACTTCCAACGCCTCTTGGACTCAATCCTCGGGCCCGAACTAGAACCACACGTCCTCGTGTACTTGGACGACATCTTCGTGGCCAGCGCCACGTTCGAGGCGCACTTAAAGCACCTAGCCAAAGTCTTTCGACGCCTGCGAGCCGCGAAACTCCGGCTCAACGTGGACAAGTGCCACTTCTGCCGGAACAGCCTACGCTACTTGGGCCACATTATCGACCGCCGCGGAATCCATACCGACCCCACCAAGGTGAGCGCCATCACCGGGTGGCCCACGCCCACTAATCTCCGGCAAGTACACCAGTTTTTAGGCCTGGCGTCCTGGTACCGACGCTTCATCGCAGACTTCTCCACCGTCACCGCGCCCCTGACACGCCTCACCCAGAAGAACGCGCGATGGGCCTGGACCGGTACCGAGAACGAGGCCTTCCAACGCCTTAAGACCGCCCTGACGGCCGCCCCGGTGCTTGCCCGGACTTCGAGCAACCGTTTACACTACAGACGGACGCCAGCACGCACGGGCTCGGAGCCGTGCTTACGCAACAGCTCGACGAGGG